AGGAGAATTTCTGGCCATCCTCACCTCCCCAGGACTCTCATTCCTCCCTCACCACGAGCATCTCTGCTTTATCCATTTTCTGAAGGCAGCAGAGTCATAATTTTTTTTTTTTTTTCTTTTTGGGGGGGGAAAAAGCAATACAAGCTGTGCTGTAGTATCAGTGTTCTTGTGGTAAATAATTTATTTCCAAGCATTTCACATGGCAGGCTTAGAGAAAAACAGAGGGGTTTGGGGTTGAAGATGTGTAAACAATCAGAGAACAGCCAAATCCCAGCTCCTAAACCCATGGCACAGCTGGAATTTCACCTGGAAACAGGAATACAAGAGCATCATTCCCTCAGTTATGCAATACCGTATTTTCCACCCCCTCCAACCAAAAAAAAAAAAAAAAAAAAATGTTGGGTTGGGTTGGGTTAAATTTCGTGCTGGGCAGAGAACAAATAATGGAGAGTGGCAATAAAACAATAAAAAGAATGCAGGCAGGAATTTGGGAAGAATCCTCAGAGCTGCTTTCTTGGCAGGAACACCTTTGCTCGGTGGCATTTTGTACATTGCAGAAGATGCAGGGGGAAATGCCAGGGTCGCTGTGAGCTCGGGGAAAGCAGAGGCAGGAGGGACAGAGCATCCCAAGGCACCCTCTGGGTGTGGGGTACACACAAAGTGCTTTGTGAATCCCTGGTTTTATCGGAGAGAGCATTGGAATGCCCCAGAGGAACAGCAGCCAGAGCCACCTCCAGAGGCCACTCTTACACCGAAATGAAGTTTCTAAAGAAATCCACGATCAAAGGCAAGTTTTGGAAGTGTCAGATGACAAATCCTGCCAAACCTGGACCAGTTCATTTGCTGTAAGGCCGTGAACTGCAATCAAATGCCTGTACTTACAGACATCAAAGTCGATTTTATAGAGAAAGAACTGTTCATCTTGTGGAAGAGTGATGTTGACTTTGAGTAGATTTAAGCAAATCCCCACATAAACATCCTCAAATTTCAGAGGTTTCACGTGGCCCATGAGCTCATAAGTCCTGAGAGCCAGTTTTCCATCCAGGATGTATCCCAGCCCGCTGCAGTAGGGGGGATACAGCCTGAAGGGATACTCCTCATAGGAGATGTATCTTTTTCTGTCAAAGCCTCTGTAGGCCAAGTTGTCAATGAGGGGATAGCCGGTGAAAACGTTCTCCGAGGAATTCAGCTGCAGCAGGAGCTTCACCAGGTTGGGAGTGTTGATGAAGACATCGACGTCTGTCTTCATGAAGAACCTGGCGTTGGGACAGAACTCAGAGAGCCACTGGAAAGCCATGATGGTCTTGAGGGTGAGGTTGTCATAAGTGTCCGTGAAATCCTGGCGGATGATGTCCCCGTAGAGGATGCTCTCGTCCTCCACCGACAGCGCGGCCGCCCCGTCCTCCCTGCGCGTGTCCCGCCCCAGCAGGAACAGAGTCAGCACGTGCTGGCCCCACCAGGAATCCCGGGAGCCCCAGGTGATCCTGATGGCCTGCCTGGCTTTCACATCCCCGGGGCTGGAAGCCACCAGGATGACCAGGAAAGGCTCGAGCTGGGCGCAGCCGTGGCGCTCGCGCAGCGTGAACGGCCGCCGGTGCCGGAAGGCGGGCTCGTAGTCGTAGAAATAAAGCAGGTTCACATTGTCCACGCCAGCCCTGGAGGACAGGGTGATGTACCACATGAAGATCAGGGAAAACACCAGCAGCAGCAGGAAAATCCATTTCAAAGGTCTCATGTACAAGGCGTTGATGGCAACCGGCGTCATGGTGGGGATGTGCTGGTGTCCCTCAGGATCTGTTCCGTGAGTCCTGGAGCATCTTCCTTGCTGGAAAAGGAAGGGGGAAGTGGCACTCAGAGTGGTGTTAGTCAGATTTTACCTTTTCCTCGTGTTGGCTGAAGTGGAATTGTGCTGTAATATTGATGCTTTCAGTTTTAGATTTTATATTTTCCAGATTCTGCATTGGTGTGTGACTCTGAACTCCACACAAGGTGTTCCAAGCTCTCCTCCCAGCTCAGGCACACCAAACAATCCTTTTCCAGCCCCACAACCAAGGACACGCTGCAGCTCCAGCCCCAAAAAGTGCAAAGAGCAGCGACTGGAGGAGAGAATGTGGGAGGGTGGGACTGCAGAACCTGGAGCTGGGGTTGGACAATGAACCCCAAGGTGGGAATGGACCCAAACTGATCCAAGTGTGAGAACTCGAGACTTGGGCCCAGCTTGGGTGTAGCCATGGCCAGGCTCCTGCACTGCCCAAGGGGAATCCTGTGAAGGTTTTTAATAAATCCCTGCTTTATTCCTTTCACTCTGTCCCAGGCACCTGTCCAGGTATCACCATCAGCCAGTCCAGGCATTCCTGACCCTGATCCCAGGATGGCAGCAGGACACGGAGCCCCTGCCCAGGGTTTGCATTGAAAGCTCGTGGCTTTCACCCTGAAAATCCCCCCTGATCTCCAGCCAGGATCCCACTCCAAGGGCTCTGATCCCAGGGATCTCAGCTCCACCTCAAGGACAGAACCTGTGCACAAAATCCACCAAATGCTCGGGAAATGGATGCTCAGAGGCCTCAGAATTTTCTTGTTTCTGTTCAAGACAGGAAACCTGACTGCTCTGCATGACCTGGAGCACGTGGACAAGAAAGCAGAAGAGCAAATGTTTCATTTCCGTTCAAAGTTTGAGCAGCTGCTTGGTCTGATGGGGAGAGGGGAAGATAAAAATCAACTTATTGAAATCAGGAAATGTCCTAAAGCCGTTTTTGACCAAAGTCAGGACAGTTTTTACCATTAGCCAGGTCGTTTTTTGGATTTGAGGCACACAAATCCACAGCAGGTCTATGGAATCTGTGCTGTTCCAATGTCAGGATTAGCGACTCCAATGGATAAATCATCACAAAACTCACTTTTAAACCAGACCCCCCAGGCCTGGACCCTCCAATTTCCTTAAAACTATGCAGGCTCTATCATATATTTTAGACATCTTTAAACCAAAATAATTGCAGTGCCTAACTGTGGGAATTCCAAATGGCTTCTGATGTTTGCAGTAATAATATTTATCCTGCATGAGGACACACAAAGAATCAGTCAGGATGATGGAAGGTTTGATTTTATAGCACAATTAATTACTCTTTATCTTCAAAATATTGCCACAGGGCTCATAAATGTTTTATATTTGACAAATAAATCCAACCCCTAGATTAGCACTCTGGAATTTGATTTTCCAGAGCCCGTCTGCCTCGTGTTTCTGTGTAGGATCTGATTTGAAATTATTCATCCTTTAAAGGAAGCATTTGGAGAACATTTCATCAATAATGGCTTTAAAATGGATAAAAGCAATTTTATATAAAGCATTTAAATAGAAGAATTTTGGACTGATTCATCTCAAAATCAATAATTAACTATTAGGAATCTTCTCTTTTTCTGCACCAACCTGACTTTCAGTATGAAAACACATACTGGAAGAAAATAACCTAAGTTATGTGTCAGTGTTTATTATTTGATTTTAGATCAGTAACATTTATTTGGATGATCAACTTTAAAGCATATCAGCAAAAAACTGAGCAGTTTGGTGGGAAAAAAAATTATATATTTTTTTGATTCTTCATAGGAAGAAAAGCCTGATTTCATGACAGTCTGACCAATAAAACTGGAGACAAATCCCGATCTGCTACATAAGGAAAAATCTGGGAAAATAATCATCAATTCAGGTCCTTCAGGAAACCCCAAGCACGCAGGGAAATAAATCCCCACCTTCTCCTATTCCAAATGTTGAAAGCAAAGTGGGGAAGTGGAGGCAGCGAGGTCTGAGCTCAGTCATGGTGCAGCTGCAGCCTTTCCAGCTGCTCCCACACTTCTTTTTTGCTGGCAATTTTCCCTTCCAGCTCTTTCCAGGGCATTACTTCCATTTGCCTCCAAGCTGAGATTGTGCCACCAGAGAAAAGTGGTGAACTTTTTATATAAATGTGAGGCAGCAAAAGGCTCAGGATGCTCCACAGGGATTTAGATCCATCTCCCACACTGGTAGGGGATTGTGGAGCAGGGATGTGCCTGGCAGGAAAAAATGTGGGAAATTCTCATATTCATTAAAGATTACTAATTGTAATAACCAATAGTTCTAATATCATGATTTTTAAAATTCCGTAATAATAGGTTTATAGGAAAAGAAATCCTTTTTAAAGCTACCAGCAGAAATAATTTGGAAATATATTATTTAAAGCAGCCTGGCCTATGGGAGGTGTCCCTGCACATGGCAGGGGTGAACCACATCATATTTAAGGTGCAAACCAGCTGCTGATTCTACGTTTTTAGACTTAAAACAAATGGAAACTAGAGGAAATTTTGCAATGCTCAAATATACCAAAACTTTCAGGTTTGTATTTAGAGGTTTTTT